ATATAAATCAAGATAGCCGTTAACACTGTTAAATTATATTTTGTTATATGTACCTATATGTACCTATATTGTTTCTAGTCGTATCTATTGTGTAATGGAGTGTATCTGGTGGTATTTGAATCTGTTCAACCATGAAGCCTCCGTGGTCTAATGGTTATGACGCTCGCCTTCACAGCGAGAGGTCGCAGGTTCGAGTCCCGCCAGAAGCATTTTATTACACAATTTCTTTATTCATTTATTTGCAGGACTAAATTCGTTGAGAGCTATGCTACGCGATGTATTTTTGTCCTTTATTAAACACTGTATTTACCTTTCTTTGATGATTTATATATATATATCTCGATGAAAATCACACAACACTGGGCCATTGTGAAGTAGTGACCCCCACCCATCTAAAATTACATCTTTTACCAACCAATTGACAAACGCCAAAAGATTGGTAGTCTTAGTTCAAATGACATAGCAAATTAATAACAACTTTAAATTCATCAGAGACTTTTTTATTTTATTATGAGTTTAGACAGGCGAAATGTTTTTAGGATTAAAGCCCGCCTGGTATTTGGTGGATATAGGATAGGTGAAATCTCACAGAAAATACCGATTGTCTGCCAAATTATTAAGTTGAACAAACTTTGTAACAGCTGATAAAAAAAACAAAGACTGTGTTTTTGACACGACTATGCCTGTAACTTCATGTTTGGTTTGAAAATACTTCTACAGGACTATTACCAGGGAGGTGTTGTTGTATGGACGACGTCTGAGCAGGTAGCCATAATTGGTTAGGCGTAAGATGCAAGGTCAATATAATAGAAAAAAAAATATTTAGTTTTACTCTGATAGGGGGAAAAGCCCAATTCAGGAAACGATACTTCGCGCACAGTTACACTTGCACAAAGAAAGAAAGACATGACAAGTTCTATATACGACAAAATTAAACTTCCAGTGACCCTGAACAATATTTTTTAACATGAAAATACGCTTTATTTTTTAATTTCAAATCTGTAGGCCTATAAGCCTGCATATTATTAGGCCAGGCAACTATTCGAAGACTGCTTTGAATGCGGCACTGTACCACTTATCATGCTAAGTAAAACCGTCAGTTCCCAGCAAACTCTAATTTTGCGAGTGGTGGTGCCAGTTGCAGAGGCACATTCTCGTCAGAGAGAGCTCTCTCAAATCGAGCATTCAAAATTACTAAATTGTTAGAGCTTCCGGAAGCTTATATTGGCGGTCAATTTTTTTTAATTTTTTTTAATGATTTTAAGCAAGAAATAAAAAACATTGGTATATCGTGTAGCATAACTCTCAACGAATGTTGTCCTATAAATAAATACATTGCGTAATTAAATGCCTCCGACGAACGTTGTCCTATAAATAATTAAAATAAATAAATACATTGTGTAATAAAATGACGGGATTCGAACTTGCGACCTCTCGCTGTCAAGGCGAGCGTCATAACCATTAGACCACATAGGTTTCATGTTGAACAGATTCAAATAACCGTCAGGTACACTCTATTACACAATGGGCGTATACGGTTGTAAATAAATAGTAGCATAATATCAATCAACTGTTAAATAATAAATCATCAAAGAGGCGTTTTACTTATTTATTTATAATAATAATAATAATTGTCGAGACTTATATAGCGCATATTGGAAAGACCTCTATCCACTTAGCATTATTACCCGGTACCCCAGTCATTGGATAAAGCAAATATGGAACACATATTCAGGTGTCTTGGGAGAAATCCATAATTTTGCAGCTGTAATCAGCGCATTTTTGTGTTTGAACCTACCAGGTATCCACTAGTGCTCCGGGTGGAGAGGGACAACCGTAGGTAAAGTGCCTTGCCTTAAGGAGGACACAGGCGAAATAAACAGCGAGAGATTGAACTTCCGACCTGAGGTAGAAGCAGAACCGCAACCGCTGCGCCAAACCCCTCAGGACAACATTCGTTGAGAGCTAGGCTACACGATGTTCTGTCATGTCCTTTATTCAAACACTGTATTTACCTTTCTTCGATGATTAATATAATGGACGGGGCGTGTGAAATGAAGTTTCGCCAAGATTGACTTTCTATTGTCTATCTATATGCAAAATAAATGATTTATGATCGAACTTTAGTTCGTTTTGTTTTTCTTACACAGAAATCTCTTTTTGTGGTTCTAGTCATTATTATTATTATTATTATTATTATTATTATTATTATTATTATTATTATTATTATTATTATTATTATCTCAACTGCTCCATATTTCAGAATCGCGATCGGGCGGCCTCGACGCCGTGTAATCGATAGATATAGAGATATTGATATTGACGTGTACCGCCATGGTACAAGTTGCATATAAGGTACCCTTAAATTCCTGCACGAAAATTTAAAACATTTTCGAAATAAAATGCATGAAATCATTGGAAACTTTTTTTCTTGATCTCAGACTAATAGTCTTAATGAATTAAAGGTATAAAATGTATTAAATGCATAGTGGTTTCTTTTAAATTAAACGAAGTATTAGATGGATAAAAGGGTGATGGATAGCGAATTATGACTTACCCCCTCAATGGTCAGACAGTATTTGCGGCACATTCAAGACTGATAGTGTAAGTTTTTAAGTTATCTGTTTTAAGTTTGTATAGGCCCCAAGTATAATTCTCACAACTCATAATGTGCAATTTTTCTTTTTAATCCAATTCAATGAAATAAATATTTAACACTCTCATCATATCCAAGTATTTAGTAGAGATATAATTCTTACTTGTATTTTAACCGTGGAATTCAATTGTCATGATGCACTGACATTTGACGTAATAAATATCCGAATCTGAATCTGACTTTGATATCCCATATAATTTCCTTCAGTTTCTGCTGAGGCGGCGTCGAACACTGTGACGATGGCTACGGGATCGCTAGCGCCGATAGTCGTATTTGTACATGTTGTACGCTTTTTTGAGAAAATAGCACATTAAAAAAATATTATTTTAGGAAATTCTGGAACGAATGCGTGAGAATATATAGACCTCGCATGAGGTCAAATTTAAATGCCTGAGACTCCTGCGAAATGCGTGAAACTTGACAGGTCTGTTAGTATGAGGCGCCAAATGTACTTTAATTATTTAACAATATTATATACATATGATTCATTATTTAATATATAATTCAACATTTGTTCATTATATACATATCATTAGTTTTGCTTCCAACAATTACATATAAATAATTGTTGGAACGATTTTCCTTATTTATAAATAATACGATATTAAAACAATTATTTATAAATAATGACTATAAGTAAAATGATTATTTATAATGACGCTCGGCAGTTCATTTATTTATAAATAATGTTTTGCTAGTTTAAATTATTTATAAATGATGAAAATTATTTATATATAATTGTTAGAGGCAAAACTAATTAGGCTTATATGTATGAACAAATGTTTAATTATATATTAAATAATGAATTATATGTATATAATTTTGTTAAACAATGAAAGTACATTTGGCACCTCATATGTTAACTCCGTCGTGGTGGCCACTGTGTGTGCGCTGAACCGAGACGGTTCAATTCCTATCCCTACTCTCCTTGTGTTTGAGCTAGAGGACTGAAATGCAAGTTATGATAGCGCACCGTCTTTCGGATGAGACGTTTAAGCCGTTGGTCCCGTGTGCATTATGACCCATGTGTACGTTAAAGAACGCATTACACTGTTCCGAAAAGAGTGGACATTGTCTCCCAGTGTACTGCCCAATCCACCACCAGAAGGCCCCCACTGAAAACAAGTCTCGAGACTTAGTGGGTTATCCTATTCACACCGAATTCTCATCTATCTCATCAGTTTTGCGAGGGAAACCACACTTGGTAGTGAAATCTCGGAACGTTTAGTGAATAAAAGGAAAAAGGCTAGAAAATTAGAAAGTTAGAAAGTTTAGGTACAGTACATTGAAATTAAATCCGTCGAAAAATTGTAGTCTATAGCAAAACTTAGTTTCTGAATTCGTAATTTATTATGAATTATGAAAGTGCCGACAAACACGATTAGGATGGCGAGATTGATGATTAGACAATAGAAAATCATTTTATTTAAATAATGAAGGTTTAAAAATCGAGTCGAGTCTATAAGCATGATGAAAAGTGTGAGAGTAGATGGGCTTTGAGATAATGCATTTTAAAATTTGTAATTTACATAGTGTTTTAATGTTACAGTATCTTCATCCACAGGGACTGTAATTGATGTGGGAAGGAACATCGTTTTTGTTGAAGAGAAACAAAAACTATAATACACAGCTGAAATTCAGGGATGTAGTTATGGTGGGTGGGGCCACTCAGCCTTGACGTTTTCCACCCAATCTAAAGCTAATTTCATGGTCTCCACCCAACTCACTTTTCCATCCTTAAAATCCACTCATATTTAGAGTTTACCAATGTTATCACCATATAATTTTTTTCCCTTCCCAACGAATTGTGCTTTTTCTCCCTGACGGTGGGGGGGGGGGCAGCTCTCGCTGACTGGGACCCGGACTCCCCGGACCCACCCTTAAAAATGTCTCACCCACCCTTATTTTTCTACACCTACAGCACAAGAAATTCTCACACATGGCAAGTTCAAATAGACTTTATTTATACTGTACATCATTGTATGCGATCTCATTATGTAAGAACATAGATTCAACTTTAACTGTCTACAAATACTGATAAGGAAGCTGCACACCCAGGTTACTAGTCATGAAGCCCTGTCCTGACTAGCATATATAATTTTATTTGACAAAAACATGCGACATGCCTATATATGGTCATGATATGACCATATATAAGCACATCATGACTATATATGGTTATAAAATAGTATTTTGTCGAAGAAAATTTGATAGCCTGGACAGAGCTTAATGCTACATGTCACTAAACTAGGGTCTGAATAAATTTAGAGATAATCAAAAATCTTTTAGTGAATTATTACTAACAAGAGTGCCAGTACATCGATACAACAGCTAACTGAGGTGATAGAACAACAAACTGTAACAACTCAGATGATTTTTTATCTGAATTGTAGATACTATTTAAAAAATGTTGATTATAACATTATCTACCACAGAAACACAAAAATCTCTGTATAATATACCAGTAAAAATGAATATATAAACTATCTATTGAAAGAAATCAACCTCAAACACATACGGTACCAATCCGTACTTAAAAATTGATTGTCTTTCAAAGTTCTATGATAAAATTTCCATCTGGCGAAATCTGAGATAAAAAATCAACAATTCGCTGAGTCTGATACCAAAAGTAATCTCTTGTTTTAAATGCATTCAAATTCACCCAGCTACATTTTATGCACATAGGCAAAACAAAATTGTATTTTACAAATATTCACAATTTTGAACAGGCTATTCTGTTATTATACAAAAGAAAAATGCATACATAACTGCAAGCGGATAACAAGTTTTCTGAAGTTTAACACGATTCGCGTCTCTCTCAACATGAAGGCCTATTTCACTCACAACTACCCTTAAAGAATCACAGCAAAAATTATAATTAATGTACACCTCATCATCAATATATAAATACAGATAGTCCACAAGGAAAGGTTGATGTATTCTATATACAATAATAAATAGTTTAACTCTTTAAACCTCAAACAAGTGTCACTAATAAGCAGGTATTCATTTTAGCAGTAGTACTAGGTTATCTGCAAATTATATTTGGTATGCAAATTTAAAAAAAACAAGAATATCTGCTATTTAAATAAAATATAAAAATATAAAATAATTACAAATCAGTTAAATTTAGAGACAAAAAAAAAAGATATTAAATGTGACCTGCTCTACCAAGGATATACTTACATCGTGCACATATATGGGCATGATGATGTCATATTACACCCAAATATGGGCACAATGTGTAATCTCTTCCAATGGACCTTTCTGGAGTGTCAATCAAACTTAAACCACCAATCAGAAGAGTGCAAGGAATATGCTCATTAACAAACACACATGTTGTTCCATAAAAATGCACATGTCAACATACATTTACTGTGTGGGACCTTAGCAACAAAATCCATGGGGCGGAGCTTAGATAAAAGGTCCGTTTCCGTGGAGTTCTCCTGGTAATGCTTCAATATTCAACATGGATTATTCGTATTCGATGTCAAACTAAAATACAGTTCACAATATTGGTGAAATACCATTGGGAAAAAAAAATGTTTTTATGTTGTATTCTTTGGTAGAGTTGGTCACATATTTAGAAAATAAAATCAAGAAAATATAATATAAGAGGTAATTTATAAATTAAATTCTTTAAACTATAATTGAAGTGAGTATTCTTCATAACAATAAAAGAATCATGTAATAATTAATAAAGGCCTCTCTTTATCAATAGATTCCCATCTCTCATCACTCGATCCTTTACTAAAAGAAAATTACTTTTGTGAATTATAATTTAAACATGTTAATATTTACAAAACAAATAAACAGTTATAAAATTATTAACTAAGAGTTGTTTTGATCAGTTTCCATAGCAGTGGTGGCACCAGCGCGGAGAAGGGTGTCAGGGCAAGAACTCCCATTGCCCGACACTACAACGAGGTCATTGGAACTAAAATGTTTATCTTGCCAATCCAATCAAAGTCACTGTGATTGCCAATCCCAAATATTGTGCTGTAAAAACAATATTTCAAGCAATCGTAAACCACATAATCTCTCGCTATGAACCAACCTAACAGAGATTTTAATCTGGGACCCTGATTGAGGCTATAATCGGCCCCCTGGTGCCGACCTTGACTGACTTGTTGGAACCTATGTTGGAAAGTTTTCGAAGCCACCACCGCTCTGTAGTGGATGTGGTTAGAAGAAGGCAGTTTATGAAGATGGTGATAGCATCTACAGTAGGGCCATGCTGAAGATGCAAATACTATTTAAATATCATGATGATATAAAAGGAGTTTTACAAGAATTCCTTTCTTTATCTCAAAATGACAATGGACTCCAGCAATCAACCAGTCAACACAGCTCTCAAGTTTCTTTTAAAGTGGAGCTCACTTGATGAGGAATTAAGATGGCATATGAGCAGCCATATGTGCAATAATGCTGTGTTCCAGTAAACCGTAAACACAACCAACTGTAGTCATATGAAATGTGGTCCAACATAAATGGAAATATCTATCTGAAAATATTGTTACTACGTACGCTATTTTGAATCAACTTCAGACGCACATAATCACTTCACTCCTACTCAATATAGTCAGGATTATAAAAATGATAATATTTACTCAACCTACTGTTTTAGAAGTGTACTACTCATTAGTAAAATTTTGTAATTGTTCAAAGTTTATGAATTTAAAGTACTGCCATGTTGCTTAAGTTATGATGTAGATATTAACTAAATCATCTCAGGTAACTCTTAAATATTACAACTTATTAATCACCGGTTGGCTGAGCATTGGAACGAGATTCATGGTGGCATGATCACCACGATCACAGGCGCGCTGGAACATGGTATGAACCACAGCTACCAATATTCTGTTCCCGGTCACTTTTGGGAGTTCTCTCACGCTCTACTTTCATATATCAGAGGTTCTGATAGAATTTCAATTTGTGACTACATTTGCAAGTGACTCACTCCCGAGTGCTGCCCTTCGACAGATTGCACGATATCAGGTGGCACTACCATGGTGTGAGGACTTTGTTGCAAGTTCTCATCTGGTGAGGCGTAGCGACTATAGACATGCCGATGCTTGCCTGTTATGGTTGAGCTTCCATAGAAATCCTTATACTGACAATCAGATGCCGAGGACTATAGGTCAAGAGGAAAAAATTATACAATATATAATATGTATATATGTACATGTATGCATAATATAATAATTATTAATAATAGTAACAACAAAAATAATAAAAAGGATGCAGTGAAGTATTAGGATTGATTGACTGATTGGTAGATACATACCAATCTGGATTTGACTTTCTTTGGAAGCGGTTCATCATTCGCATAGACATCTTCCCTCTTAATCGCCATGACAACACCATCTTCAAACTCTATGTCCACCATTTGCACCTTGTTGCATGCAACGTAGCAGCCATTGTACACCTGGTTGTCCGTCCACAATACGCGCACAGGCTCACCTTCAGCTGGGGGTCCATCTCTTAAACAGTGGTGACTCTGGAAACAAACATTACATTTTTGAATATAAATATTTGACATCTATAATCACTTTGTTACTCTTCAAGGAAACATTTTCTGCCGGCAAACAGATCTATTTCTAGCTTCTATAGTTAAAAAATAGTAATTAGAATATCATGGGGATGGATTGTGCAAGATGGAAGAAGAGTAATATATTAAACTGGACGAGGTACCAGGAATTGGACATGCAAGAGATAAACACACTGTAAGGATGGACACTATAGCACATTGAAAAGCAGAATGTAGATGAGTGTATCTGATACTTGTACATCAAGTGATGCAACCACCAGTATGTCAGGTGATGCAACCACCAGTAAGTCAGGTGATGCATCCACCAGTATGCTGAGTGATGCATCCACCAGTATATCTGGCGTTGCATCAACAAGTATATCTGGCGATGCATCCACCAGTATGTCAAGAGATGCAACCACCAGTATGTCAGTAGATGCATCCACATGTATGTCAGTTCAAACATTTACCAGACCATCAGGAAATGTATCCACCTCTACATCAGGTATACCAGATGATACATCCACCTGTACATAAGGTGATATACCTACCTGTATGTCTTCCGGAAACAGGTTATCACTGTAGGAGCCATCCTCAAAGTTCACATGGTAAAAAATTTGATCTCTAGTGTCCACAACATCAGCGTAATAGTAACGTGCATTGCGGTACTTGGCAATCACTCGCTCGCCAACATGTACATGGGTAAGTGGCTGTTGTCGTGCCTACAAAAACAAGTAGTACAGTAATATTTTTACATTATTTTGAGTAAAGGATTGTAGGAATAGGTTTGGCGACCTCAAACATAATAAGTGAAGTGGTATTATTAAGTGTACATTTTAAAAGTTTAACAATCAAAAGGAAAAGAAAGAAAAAAAGAAAAAAAAGAGGAAAACTCTTTTTAAAGACTTTATTCAACTAACCACGTCTCTATGACCCACATGCCGAAGACATGTTGAATAGACTGGATACGGCCATTCACTAGGTTCCATGATGACCCCTGCAGCGTAAGCACATGTTACATGGAACGACACCACACACTTGCCCACTGAACACTGGATGCATGCCCCGTATTTCGGACTGTATTTGATGAACGAACGGCAGTAGTGACATTTCTTAACAGAAAAATACAAATTTACTATGAAAGGACTATTGATATATAAGTAAATACACTCTAAGCTTAAAGTATAGCAGTATGGTGTAACAATTAGGCAATTTACGCAAGAGGACTGGGAGCCGTCAACAACGGCAATTAGGGTTAAGCGCCCTATTGTATTGTGGTATTTACGCTCTGATGAGCACAAAACCACCGGCCACCTGTCTTACCGTCCTGTTGCTTAAAGTGCCTATTGTACAATCTGCGAGACCTAGGTCCTACGCTGGACTTGGTGTGGCCACTGCTAGTTTTTGCTAGTGCTCATAGCTCAGGTCTGCAAGCGTTTGTATTATCTGGTTCTCGAGTATAAGCCCACCCTCCAAACTCAACACAATTTTAGGTTACATCAAAGCAATTAGAGTATTATTAAACATTTACAAGTTAGGTTTGGGTAAAAATGTTGAAGATGCAAATGAAAATTAAAATTGTCTTTACCAATTTAAACCTTGCAGATGATATACCATTGACGTTGATTGGTTGTCTTGTTTGTACATTAACAAAAGTCACATCAGGTATGGCCATTGCACACACAATATGAGCCCACATTCCCTCCTTAGTGGTCGTTTTGAGGGCACCGCCGCGGAGGTTACACAGGCAGCACTCCTGTTGTTTATACAATGTAAATGGTTACCGATACAGTAATACAATACAGACAGGTCTCCGTCTAATTAAAGGCCCCTCCCATTAAAAACCACTTTCCGTGGTCCCATATTAAAAAATGTCTTTTTTGTCTTTATTATTCTAATTAGGGACCAAAAATGCTGAAGACCATGGAACCACCGGTCACAAAAGTGGTCTTTAATTCGAGGAGACTTGTATAAAGACATGAAAGCCAATCTCATGTGGAATTTAATGGCACTCCATTTTTTCAGAAGACTAGGGGGCACAACCTCCTAGCTTTTTGAGGGTGCACAACTCCCTAGATTTATAAAAAAAAACAAACAGATCACTTACTGCATTCCAAGATTCTGCTGAACAACGTTGACACTGCCATGTTTTGTTGTCCGTAGGGGTTGGCACACCATAACAGCCTAAGTTGACAATACACAAATTCCAGGACAAATTAGCATACAGCAAACATGAATATCATTATATTAGTTTTTTATTTATTTAATTTAAAATTGATACCTTTGTGATTTTTTTTTTTTGGTCATTTATATTCTCACTTTTACTTTTTATTTTAGATATAAACAGGTAGATGGAAAGTTGATGCAGTATCAAATATAACAATACAATAAATTTAGCTAAAGGGGGGGGGGGGTGTAGCCACTAGCCATGATGATTATGTGGCTACCTGGCCTCCTCATGTGGAATGGTATACCAAATTTTCATCAATAACATAAAAATACATAGAATACTGCAACAATTTACAAGAGAGAGCCAAACTTACTTGAGTGAACCTGCACTTTGCAGAGACTACATTGCAAGAGGGCGCTCTTACCATCGTCACCTATAAAGGGGGTGTCATCAGTTGGTTCTGGATTGCGAGCACTAGCTGCGAAGCAGATCTCTGGTGCCAGGACTGTGGTCCGCCTGTGTGAAGTGCTATCCTGCTGAATCTCCTCTAGCTGGAATATCTTGTGAAAGTTTGGCAAATTCTGAAGCTGAAAATTTAAAACAAAAATATATTAAATATAAGTGTATCACTAGTGTCCATAGTAAAATAAATTAGAAAAACCAGTAAATATATTAATAAAATACATATTATAATAATAAAATAATATTAAAACATATTAGGTTAACAACAATAAAAAAAAAAATCTGATATATTTCATAAAAAACCTATTAATTAGGCTTGCCAGATGAGAACCTTCATTAGTAAAGTGCCTGCACACTTAACCTCAAGCAAACATTTTTTGGCAACCTTTTAAAAAAACACTCCCAATCTCCAATTCCCTCCCCAGAAAGAAGAGAAAATGGGTGGGTACTGTGGGTTTTGGCACTCCCACAAAATGTGAATAAAAAACAAATTAAAAAAATTATGTCCATTAAATATTTGAATGATAATACCCATCTTTTTATCATCATTGTGATTTATAATTATGTGTACATATAAAATGGTAGAGCAAACTTTGGTGGTATTGTCATGCAATATTTGAAAAAATATCCCCACCAAAATATTGATATAAACCATCTTTACAGTAGGAAACCCAATGTACAAGTTTGGTATTCTATAACACTGCCATAAAAACTTCATTTATTTACTATCAAATTCATAAATCTACAGAGGGAGGAATGAAATGAATTAGCATTGTGATCTATACACTATTTGAAAAAAAAAATACAGTAGCAATAAAAATGATTAAACAATTTAGTTAATTTATTCAATCAATCAAATTTACCAATATCAAACATTTCAAAATCAGTCAAATGGGGCTTGAAATGCCAAAACCAGCATCAGCGATCAAAACATTTTAATATATTTATATTTTCCACATTATAAGCTTTAAAATGACAGGGGATTTACTAGAATCAATTTACTATCACCAAAGATATGAGTAAAAATATTATACAAAATTTCTATGCTACTGTAATTACTCAGTTTAACATTTAGCAACAGTACGCTGGTTTTGAGACGGCAAGCCTCATATATCAAAGCAGCAATCAATTATTCAGTCAGTAATTCCAAGAATCAAATTGATTAATACCCATCAACCAAATTATTATTATAAATCAATCTAAGTACTGTACATGATGGCACAGTGACTATAATAATAATAATTCTAGATTTTTTTGGACTATGGTATTATGCTTCTGAAATCTAACAATAGCAAGTACAGCAATAATAATAAAATAAAACTATTCTACACCATCAATCACTGTTTTTGTCTTCACCATAGCAACCACCCTTATTATCATTATCATAATCTCTACCATTACTGACTTTTGTATGAAATGAACAACACTGAATGATAGCAAGCAAAAAATATATTAGACTGTACTTGTACAATAATCCACACAATGTATGAATAGTCTCAGGGGTCCCAAATCTCCCACAAGTTGCAGGAGTCTCCAAGAAATCAGCACGGCCTCCCAGGAGCGGATCCAGTAGGGAGCATGGGGTTGGGGCACGTTCCCCCGTTTCGCCGCTAAGTTTTAAAAATTTCAATGCAAATCAATGTTATGTGCTACACACTCACCTATTCAGAAACTGTTGTGCCCCTACCCCATTTGAAAAATTCTGGATCCGCCTGTGACTCCCAAAAGCAAGAATCTCCTGGAATATTTGCATATATTTACAATACTATGATCAATTGTCTCATAGAATTCAGTGCTGATGGGTATCACAATGCACAGCAAATTTAAATGTGCTAAAAGGTCATTTAAACACATTTCCCAGAAGTGACTTCTTCAAACTTGGGACACCTGGTCCCTCAAAAAAGGATTATGTATAGGCTATCTACTTTTATTTTATGCTTTTGATGTTTTGCAGAAGGGCTTCCTTTCAACAGTAAATGTAGTTCCCTTTTAGGGTGTTTCTATCAAATGGTTTATTGTACTGTAATTGTTCCTGGCTGTCATCATTTTTGTAAACTTCAATTTTTTAGACTAACAAATTAAATGGAATGAAAAATTTCAAATTAAATGAAATGAAAATTGTCAATGTAGAGTACATTTAACTTAATTAACAAATTAAATGAAATGAAAAATTTCAAATTATATGAAATGAAAATTGTCAATGTAAAGTACATTTAACTAAGAATAACATTCCAAAATATAAAAAAAAAAACAAAAACAATGATGTGCGTGGGAAAATAAATAAAAATATGCCCTAAAAACAAGTTATTACAAACTACTAAATACCATACTCTAATTACACGGAGATTAATGACCTGTAAATCTAAATGCTTTTTTAATGTGTAAAAGGTTATAGGTCACCCTGCAATTCAAGACAACTTTGAAATGGTGGTCTTGGGGCTCTGTCTCCACTTAGAGGGTTAGCTTTGTGTTAAAAGATTGATAATGGTTCTTTGGTTCTTTGAAAAAGTGGTCTTAAAAGTTAGATGGGTCTCGGAATTAGAGGGGTCTCAAATTGGAGGGTGCACTGTATTCTGATTACTTCTTTTTCTATTTGGTAATTTTAAGAGACTCCATAAATGAAGCTGCTTGTATTAAAATTGGCTGAACTAATATTCCTAATCATTTGACAAACATTGCTAATAAACAAAAGATGTAAAAAATAACAACAAAATCTAATTAGATTATTAAAAAAAAAATGTATGGGATAACATATTTAGGTTTTACTAAACCAGTTTCATGGAGCGTATAAAAAAATTGATATCTCTGTTTTGAAATAATTAACTTAAAATCCATTTCAATATTTTAATTTTATTTACATAAGTAGTTAGTTTTCAATTCTAATTTAGAAAGAGAAATATATCCAATGCCAATCAGTTAAAATAATATAATTTATTTATTTTCAGAGTTAAAAAGTCTGTAAATCAGGGAAAACCAAACTGTTTTAATTAAATTGTTTAGGATTTCCTCACAATCAATCCCAATCAATTTGAATTATTAAAAAAAAATATGTTTATATTTAATAATTGCTCACCGCTTCTTAACAAAAACTTATCAAACATTCCACTACAAAAAAACAGAAGAAAAATTATATCACTGGAGTTAAGAATTCATAACACAGCAAAACAAAAATGACATGCTGCCTGTAAGCCATTATTAAAAGCTTCCAACCAAGACAGGGAAACTTTAGACAAAAGCACTGACAACATGTACACCATGCAAAATGGCCACATGCTTGAGGGCAAAAACTGATGGTTATAATACGTGCCTTGGGAGTGTCCTTTTTGTTTAGACCATTCAGCAAACTGTTGGATGTAAAGGCTAAGCCCTGAAGAACAAAATATCAGTACATATGGGAACACACAGTAAAAATAAATTTATCTGTTGAATATTGCATGTGAGGTATTCTATCTAAAACCCTGACGAATAGCCAATATGAAAACATGTTATGTATTTTGTTTTACAATCATATTCTATATTTAATAGATTTAGCATAACTGATTGGGTTTATTATTTTTCTTTAATATGAGCAATTTAATTTCAGTATTACTGTTTTATCACTACTGAAAAAAAAAAGTTTTACCAGTTTCCCTGTCCACGCATGACTGCACACACAATAAACAGTTACAAAATTCAAACCAACATAAAAATAATGCATGTTATTCAAAAAAGTAACAAAAATTGAAACTTTTTTGGATGTTTTTATACTTTTTTTAGATGATAGAAAGATAGTATATAAATATAATACTTTACAATAAAAATATAAACTTGACAACTGTCGACCTGATAACATTATAGACTGTATCCAAATTTTAAGTTATGACTTTGTTTCATAGGAACAGACCACATGTTAAAATACTTCTTAAGCTGGATTTACACTAGACACGATAACGACACGAACACATATCATCGAGTAGTTTGTATTCTTCAACACTGCGCGCATCTCTATCTTGTCGTTGTCATGTCGTAATTGTGTCTAGTGTAAATGTGGCTTTATCTGTTGTGTTTATACCACATGCCCTAGTGTTCAGACTATGAGTGAATGTAATATGACATTATTATACCCTCATGAACAAATCAGAAATGATGTTGGTAATCTATGTGTGAAATACTTACCTGGATGAACCAATACATGCCAGTTTCTTTTCTTAGAAACTTACCTAAAAAATAACGGAATCATCGAACCTACAACCGTAATGTTTTTTTGGCAATCAATGTTTCCCTAAATAATATCAGCCAACGAGCTCGAAGTTCTCTAAACATGGATACCAAAATATATACATCATCTCTTCAGACTGATAACATGATGAAGCAATATAAACTATTAATTTTGGACGTGCATATCATTGGATAAATGAAACCTACCCTTTCGTTGTAGAACAGCTGGCAAACACAGCACCCTGGAGGAAGATCTGAAGTGGTGTTGTTTGCGGCTTGTTCCATCTCAAAGTGGAATGGCTGTGTCACCCAAAGCCCATTCAATGACTTAGCCCACTCTTGCATGAACAATGGCTCTGAGGGTAAACATAACAAAACAATACACCAAATGATATCAACAATGATGAATTGCAAAAATACAAAATATTTACACTGAAAAATGATTGAATATACATCTACAGGCATTATTAGCGTAAATAGCAGCTTTGAAATTTTATACATTATTGCATATTGACTTTTATATTTAGGATTACTTTATTTGTACGTAAATTTTGATAATTTTGTATTAAGAATTGAATATGTCTGTAGTTTTTGAGTTCCTTAAGTTTAGCAACTGTTAGTTGTTTATGAGAATTATGACGTAGTATGTTGAACTAGAAACTTACATATAATTAATAAATTCTTCTAAATTAGATATTCTTGAATTCTTAAGGTTTCACCAAATTGTTTAACTGATATAAGACATATTTATTTTTTTATTATTAACTGGTTTAGGGCAAAGGCCAAGGATATGCCAATCAGCAAACTTAATGGCTGTTCTAAGTGGTATATCCCTTCACAACATTAACATAAAGCACAAGATGCTCTACATAAACTAAGTATCATTAAGAGGCTTAAGGAGAGGAGTTCCATTAAGTTATAACTAACCTTCATCTCTGTGGACATCTGCATCACGCTTCCTCTTAGCTACAGGTTCCCCCTTACTTGTACTGGACATATCTGACATGGAATCTGACAAAATATCATCCGACTCTCGACCAGCATGACACTGGTTACTAACGACATGTGCGAGAGCAGATGTTTGCAATGGTGTTTCATTGGGCATGGTTAATGCACCTGTAATCAACTGATGCGCAATCTCTCCGAGAGCGTGTATCCCTGAAAAGCTGCATGCAGCCTGACTCACAGACGGTTGGGCTAAGCTAGAATTTGATGCTACGTCTTTGTTCTTCACGCTCGCTGTGTTTAATTTCTGTGAAGAGAAGTGATTCTTATGCGATGTGCTGCAAGGTTTTGCGATTTCCATATTGTTATTTGCCATGCAATTTTGGAAGTTGTTTTGCCCATCAGGTAAATGTCCTGAATTTGTAGAAATGTCAGTTTGCGTCATGGGCGTGACCGAGCCTTCAGTTCCTGCTGTGACTGATTCTGTTTGACCTACCGTTGTCATTATTTCAGAAAGGTTATGAACATTATGATGCTGTAAACTGACCCCAACGTCCACTAACTGTACGCTTGGTGACTGCCGCAAGTGCTTTGTTTGAGTTGATAAAATATTTGAATCGACATTGTAGTTCATTTCACTACCAGAAGGCTCTAATTTGATGCCATTATCAGAACCTATTGACTCAGTTTGTGACATTGATTTTGAACCATTTTCTATACCCTGCACTCCCTCCCCAACTTTCACCTTCACTTTCTTAGGCCTTCCTCTATTTGTTTTCACTTTCACCTTTTCACTATCCGAATCAGCAATATTCTTCTCTGGCTTGACCGATTCTTCTATTCTGCCACCCTCAAACTGTTCGTCACCTGGAGACACTTTCTTGTCTTTCTTTTTCTTTGCCCTACGAGGTGATGCAGCAGTTTTAGGTCCAGGTGAATCTTTCTTGTTAACGAGGGGCAGCCTTCGACTCCCTTTACTCTTCTGACCCGAGGATTGTTTCTTATTTTTTGTTAGTTTGCTATAATAGAAATAAAATGATGAAAATGCTATTGAGTATGTATACCATGGTTTCACTTAGTTAAAGCTTTGTTCACACTATTAATCATTATGTGTCAAATATCTGTGAATTGCCCCCTATATGGAAAATCACACATACTTGGCCTATCAAATTTAAAAGTGTGGACAAGGATTTACAATATTTTTTAGCCCTGATGAGCTGCTCTAGAAACACTCGGCTGATTGATTGATAGATCTTTTTTTAGCTCTACTGCCTCTATCATATCGCCCTCATGAGGCTGATTGATTAATAGTTGATTAATAGATCTTTTTTTAGATCTACTGCTTCTATTATACTGCTCTCATGAGAAGTTCTAAAAACACTCGGCTGATTGATTAATAGTGGATTGATTAATAGATCTTATTTAGCTCTACTGCCTCTATTATACTGCCCTTAATAGGAATTCTAGAAACACTCGGCTGACTGATTAATAGAGCTTTTTAGCTCTACTGCCTCTATCATACCGCCCTCATGAGGCTGATTGATTAATAGTTGATTAATAGATCTTTTTAACTCTACTGCCTCTATAATTATACTGCCCTTAATAAGAATTCTAGAAACACTCGGCTGATTGATTAATAGTGGATTGATTTAATAGATCTTTTTCAGCTCCACTGCCTCTATTATAATGCCCTCATCTTAGCTTTCGAAATTACGAATAAAAGTACATCCCATTCAAAAACCTTTTTTTTTTAATATTCTTGTACGCCCCAAATTTGACTGGTCCCATAAAGCTTTGTACAAAAAATTAAAAAGTTTGTCCTTTCATTCAAAACCACTTAGGGACCTGAAAACTTGGGGTGGTCTCAGGCTTAGATCTCCACTTAGAGGGTTAGCTTAACGATTGTTAAATGGTTCTTCGAAAAGGGGATTTCGATTTGGAGGTGCCTTCGGAATTAGAGGGATCTGGAATTGGACAGTGCACTGTACTTGGTTCCTTGTAAAGGGGGTCTTGAATAAGATGGCTCTCAGAAGAAGAGGTGTCTCGAATTGGAGGGTGGACAGTAAACACTGTGCATGTATTATCCTATAACATTTGTAGCAGAAATTTCTTGCACTACAGTGTTTTTTGTACCTCAAATGGAAAGATTATTAGTAAAAGATTAAACTAGCACAAACCTTTTAGATCCATCTTGGGTCTGAAGCTGTGCCTGTGATCGTGGCCCATCCAGCTCCTCTATGTGGATGTTATCTTTGCCCGCCAGCCATAGCTCATAACGATCTGGTTGAAATTTCAGCACAAATGGATCCATACTGATTTTCACAGAGTCACGCTGACAATTGCACTACAATAGAAGAAAGTATCATCCAAAAATCATAAAAAACTTATTTCTAAAAATTTATTGTTGAATTAATGATTCAGCGTTAAGGTTAATCATGAAGTTAAGGATTTTTGGCCAGACAAACTTTTTTCGGTGTTAATGTGCACCCATTATATTTATCTCTTCATATTTTCTTTATAAACAGAAACTTATTATTTAAGCAAATATCACAAATAACAATAAATATATATCTTTATATAAAATGAAATAATGTAAATGACAGTTGTGGCCAAATCAACATTGTAAAATAAGTAGCAAAGATTCATCAAACAATTGAAAGATCTAATTTTAATATTTTGCCACAAAACACATATCACAGCTAGATTTGACACATCATTAGAGGGAAATCAATTACTCGATGGGTTGTTGACAGTTGTTATAACAGCCAAGTTTATGTGATAAAAGTAAATTACATTCCAATTTCAGATTAAAGAACAGAGTAAAAACATCGGTGGGGCTTTCATGTTGTATATGACACAGTGGGAAACTGGGTCAGACTGTCAACTCTTGTAAACAGGTGTGCAGAGGTATTTAGAGTAGACGTCGATAAACACACTTAGACATAAAGAGGTGATAAACACTTCCAACTGTGATGTAGTAAGAAGTACTTGATGACATTATGTACATTACAGTCATAAAACATATCAAACTAATTTTTTTTTAATGTTAAATGTTATATTCATGTATATGTATACATATACTGTATATGCTGGAGATAATTTGAAAGATAAAATTACGTGTTTAAATGAACTTGAAATCTTAAAATCATCACCAACAAAAAAATGTTCAGTTTTGTAAAAACAATTTATTTAAAAAATGTTTTAAGTAATTCTAGGCATTAATAAGACATTTGTAAACTAATGTCACAGAACCTTGATGATATTTAGACTTTTGTGTTTTTATTTCAGTTTCTAACTTCTACACAAGACAAAATTGATAAATAATGAATAAACAAGATTTATGAAAGTGTCACCGGTATACAAAATAAATGAAAATCCATCAATCAATCAATCAATACTATCAATTATTTAATTAATCAAACAAATGTATCACTATTTATATAGTTGTAGGCAACTAGTCAGGGGTTCTTTTTAAAGATGGATTGGCTTTCTGCTGAAATTACTGTACCCACAGCATACACAATATAATCAACAGACAAGCACAGTTCTAAGTGCACTGATGTTGATTGAATCAATATCATAAGCAGTCACAGAGTCACTGCTGAAGCATTTCATGTAAACTGATCAAATCCTGCCTGTCAGAAAAGTAAAGAAATCCAATAGGCAGATCAATGGATTGCATGTAACATGATAGTTATTGTGAAATCACCAATTTATTAACACCATTCTGGGGCAGCCTGCTATTGCTAGAAATTAATGTTTCGATTCAATCAATTGATGTGTAGATAAAGGGGACTACTTTCTTGCTGCTCATTAATGGGGAGGAGCAAAGGGAGGAGCCTGCATTAATTGTGTTTAAATGGAACTATTTTTTTAAACTGGCAGATCAATGACCTGCATGTAACATAATAGTTATTGTGAAATCACCAGTCGATTAGCACCATTCTGGGGCAGCCTACTAATGTTAGAGATTAATATTTTGCATCAACTGATCATGTAGATAAAGGGGACTATTTTCTTGCTGCTCACAAATGGGGAGGAGCAGAGGGAGGAGCCTGCATTAATGTGTTTAAATGGAACTATATTTCTAAAGCCTGTAGGTGGCTCACTTCACATCATGGATATAGGAACAAAAATAATTTCTGCATAATGGAAAATAAAAATTTGAAACAAAAAAAAATAATTGAAAATATAGTGAAAAAATATTTTCCCTATTTTAAAATTTTAACTGCATTTTGTTTTCAAGATTTTACTAATGAGAGTAGACCACATATTAGTTGGGTGCAACCATCCAAAACATATTTAAAAAAACCTCCCTAAAATCTCAATACTCACTAAGGGAAAAACTACAGGTAATAATATTCATAAATAATAACTACAAATAACAAACAACAAAAATAACATGGTTATTATAGCAAATATAATATAGGACTTGCCATCCTGAAACCAGCATACTGTGCTATTATTAAACTGAGTTAGTATTAAAATATGCCAGTATTGTATACTTTAGTACAGAAGTGCCGTAATACTTTTACTCATAACTAAGGCAATAGTCAGTCGATTCCAATAAATTACCAATCATTTTAAAACTTATAATGTGAAGAATATGAATATACCAAAAATTCAATATTCATATTTTTTACACTGATGCTGGTTTGAGCATGGTAAGCCCCAAATGATTAACTTACACAGGTATGGCTAGCCCTCTTGCCATAGTCAATCCATCGTTCTGAAGCAAAGTTGGTTGACTCAGCGCAATTGAAACCATGATTGAAACCAGCATGATATCCGAAAGGAAAGGTGATCATAAACTGTCCCCGCTCTTGTGTTATCTAGATTAGAATTTTAATCAAATACAAAAGTGAAGAAAAGAAACAAAATATTGCCAATTGTATTTTCATCATGATTCAATACTTATATTTACAAATACAGGTCTCTCTCTAATGAAAGACCACCTCCAATTAAAGACCACTTTTCTGTGGTCCCAAATTAACAAATGTCTTTTATTTTTATTATTCTAATTAGAGACCAAAGCTGCTAAAAAACCATGGAAACCCCAGTCAAAAAAGTGGTCTTTAATTGGAGGGAGACCTGTAATGTGGTCTTGTCCATATTTATCAACTGGCCAGGTTCCTGTGCAACACATACAAACCAAAAATGAATTAACTAATTGATCTACCTAAAATATATGTCCAACAATGTATTAATCATACCTTATTAACTGGTATTGAGTACTGTCTAAGAAGGCTGGGAGATATCAACGTCATCTTATGCCTCAAGAAGTTTGGACATATCTTAAAACTGCTTGGATAAAAACCTGAAGGAAAAAAAGCAAACTTCATTCAACCTTATATTGAACTGTCATATCGAAAACATTGACAAAAAAAATTATTTCTCCTCACCCCAAAATAAAAATTAGTTTTGTGAAAAATAATGTGCATATTTGTTTTAGTTACAAACACTTTCTAGAAATATTTATCCCAATTCCCAATCATCCCCGCCCCCCTTACAATGCCTCAAGCTATCATCTTACCTGCAGCTAACCGCTCTAGACGTTTGCCATGTTGAGGAGGTATGGCATACCTGTGGACAAAAGTACATAATCAGTCACCTCAATCATATAATTCATTTCGTTTTTGAAAACATTTAAAATACAAAGATTTAATTATAAATAATATAACCATTATAAAAACTTATGCAAAATATTTATTGAGGCAAAAACCATTACCATGATTTAGGCGCTCCAAAGTGAAGGTAGTTAATACTGTAGAGGTCCATGTCTTCCGTGTGCCAGGCAAATGTCGTCTTCCACATACCAAAGTACAGGTAAGCGGTATTCACCCCTTCAATTTTCACACCTGTATCAAGAAAGTAAAGAAATATTTAATGAACTGCTTGACTTATTACCTGAGATGGCAACCATAACTATAAAAATCCTTCATCATAATATCCCCTTCATATATATTTATTTATCTTTTGCATAAAATGTGCTGTACTAAATTTCTATTAATGTTTTAGGAATCAGAGATAACAAAACAATTATTTTTTAAGTATTTAAATATATATGTTTGAGCGAAACCATAGCCATATCCTAATAGCAGAAGGCCTGATACACTGAAACTGTGTTGGTGAATGTTTAGGTGTGTGTTGTGGGATGTAAATGGTTGTGTGTAAGCATATTTGTGTATGATATACTACCTTGAGCATCTTCGATGATATCCAGCACAGTATTGAGGTTGTTAATATTCCAGATACCTCTGTCTTTGTCGTAAATACTTCCTGAGATGTCAGCGCCATATATGGGCGGATTGAAGCTTACGTTCTTCCAGTACTTGCGTTCTAGATCCTCATAATCCTCGTGAATTGGTGTGGTATACCTAGAGCGTGTAAAAAAAAGGTCATACGTGGTAATGAATTGTGAATAACAACAACAACAATAATAACCAGACAACCTATTCACTAGACATTCAATAATCTACTATACCATATTAACGTTTAAATTCATGTTTGTTGTGTTTTTACTATTTCTGATTGTGTTTACGTAAGGACCACAATGGAAATAAGTTTAATAATTTTGGTACTTTATTGTGTTTTTATCCTTTGAATATGATGTTTCTTGTCTTTGTTTTATGCACATATTCAGAAGAAAGAAATAAATAAAGAAATTTTAAAAAACGCTTATTATACAGTCTTGACAGTCTTGGATGGAGGGGGTTAATAAAGTTCTTGTGTATTGCTTTATTCCAAAAATGTTTTCAAGCAATAGGGCACAATTACATGACCAACACTACATACCGTATGCAAAAATTCATAACCAACAGGTGTTTAGAAATTCAAGTTCGCTTGTTTACAAACTTTTGACAATTTGATGACATCAGCCTCACAGACAGACGCCCCCAAAGGTTCCATCTAACCAAAAATTATACACAGGAATGACTTTAAATCCAGGCTACTCACTTGCTACTTTCTGCCATTCTCTTGTAGTCACGGAGATGAATTGGCTTCTTCTGAATATTGTACTGTGTATACAGCCCTTGTTGACCTGTAACCTCTTGCTGAATTGGAGCTGGTATTGTCAAATCTAGGTCATCATAGTTACTCCTGGCAACAAACTCTGGAGGTGGAATGATCTGGAGGAAACAAATTAAGAAGGGTGTAATATACTGACAACAAACTATAATATGTTTTTTCTTTTTTACAACTGAAATTTTAAAGACTTAAATTGGTTTTTAAATACAAAATTTACTCATGACTTTCCATAGCTGATAAAGGTGATGGTGTGTAGTAAATGGATTGGATTGAATTCATTTGGTGTAAACACCAAGGATAACTCATTGTGGGGTCTCTTCTGGTGGTGATTGGGCAGTGCACTCTCCTACACCAAAGAGTGTTCTGTGTACTTCAACATGCATATGGGGCCATTTTGCACACTGGAACAATGGCTTATACTTTTCATGCGAAAGATGGAGCACTACTGAAATTTGAATTTCAGCTCTCCAGGAGCAGTGATCAGAATTGAACTGGGGACCAAGAGGTTTCCATGTTTTAGCGCACTCACAGTGGCTTCCACCAGTAGCCAAACTAAACTATGTTGCTCAGTAATTTTTACCTTGCCTTTTTGGATTTTTCCCTGTAACAAAACTGATTACTGATACCTATATGATGACTATACTTACTTTTGCTATTCCAGCTTTGTGGGCTCCCTGGGATTCCATGTACTTGACATATTTAGAAAAATCTTCCATCTCCTCCAAAGTCGGATGAAAAACCATGATTTCTGGGCATTGGGATGCCATAGTGGCAAATGTATACTGAAATACGCTCTTCACTAGTACAAATATAAAATTTATGAATGTTTAAAGCAATACAAAAGAATTAGAAAGCTGTAACACAAAAAAAAATCTGTAAAAATATTCTTGAAATAAATTTACTATTAAACCTATATTTAACTTCACTGCCAAAATGTAAACATCCCCCTGCCCTATGACCTTTTAAAGGAAATCGTGTTTTCCATATCACATATCAATCTGCCACCAGAGCTAAGAGAACTAGGCTATCATAAGCAAAATCTTTCAAATAATTTGCTTCTTCCGAACAATTAAACAAGTGCTATTTATTTAAATACTAACAATTTCAATTGTTCATGTAGGAACTTTGAAAATACTGTCAATTCTATCATCAATCCCTAGTGTCTCTGTGTAGCCTTCTCTAACGCCAAGGCTTAGGCCTAGCAGTTGGTCAACTTCATAATTTCTTAAATTTCATTGAAGAGAAAGTAGGCCTAGGGCCTAACATAAATGGCATAGGGCCTAAATCAGGCTTATGACCGGTTGAGCCGCCGACAAGTTGAGTCGCCGGTCATTTCTATCAAACGCCAAGTGCGTCTCTCAGTGAATGTAGTGCGTAAATTGCAGCGTATTTCAATTAACTTATTCGTTATTTGTACTATTTTGTTAAATATTTTTGGAGAGTATTTCAATTTATTTACTCGTTCTTGGTACTGTTGTTTGGGATGTATTTCAGTTTATTTACTCAATTATTTCAATTTATTTAATACTCGGTTTTTGCACTGATTTATTAAAGATTTTTGGGGCATATTCCAATTTATTGACTCGTTCTTTCTATTGTTTTAATTTAAATTTTGTGAGTATTTGCTCAGTCGGCTTGCCAGAAAAAAAAACTCCATACATTCTTATCATTTATTATATACAAGTTTAACAAATAGTACAAAAATAAAAATATATAAATTATAAAACCATAGTAAATACTGTATAATAACATAGGCTTAACACATTTAAATTTATTGTTTTGTCATCTGTCTATTTAAAATCAAATTGGTTTTACTAATTTTACTTATTACTGTTTTATTAATGCTCTATTAATTATTTTTGTTTTACCTTCCATGGTTAATTTGCTGAGTATTTGATCAGTCGGCTTTTAAAAATATGTTAAAACAGAAACCAAACGTAAATAAACACATTAAAAATAATCAAGTTATTACATTTTTAATACGATTTTGCAATTATACAACTTCATTTATTTCATTTATTTTTATAAAAATGTAGTACATAAAATAATCAAAATTCTAATTTTCAAATACACAACTTATACATCACGAACGGCAATATGAGCAAATCAACGACTGACAAGACTGTGGGATGAATATGTAGCTGGTATCCGGGGGTTCATTCACTGATGACATCGGCAAGCCGACTGATCAAATACTCAGCAAATTAACCATGGAAGATAAAACAAAAATAATTAATAGAGCATTAATAAAACAGTAATAAGTAAAATTAGTAAAACTAATTTGATTTTAAATAGACAGATGACTATAAACAATAAATTTAAACGTGTTAGGCCTATGTTATTATACAGTATTTACTATGGTTTTGTAATTTATATATTTTTATTTTTATACTATTTGTTAAACTTATATATAATAAATAATTTAATTAAATAATTTAACAAAATAGTACAAATAACGAATAAGTTAATTGAAATACGCCGCAATTAACGCACTAAATTCACTGAGAGACGCGCTTGGCGTTTCATAGAAATGACCGGCAGCTCAACTTGTTGGCAGCTCAACCGGTCATATGCCCTAAATCAGACGATCAATTAAAGATGAATAAATCATGTAATACAACTAGGCCTAGGCCTACATAAAGCAATATTTTATCGCCCACGGTCTTTTTCGTTTTAGACTTTTGGATTTTAGCGTTGGTCGATATTTTCTGTACGTGTAAAATTCGTCAGCTCTAGGCTGTACACAATCAACTTCAATCCTTGCTTTTTAACTAATGGTGCCCGGACAAAACCGATTTGAGCGGCGAATCGGTGAAGCTAACTTGGCTTCATGAAGCGTGTAGCACTGTTTACTATTATTTAAGTAATTCCAAACCTCACCAATGATAACGTATTCGAAAAATACCTCATAATTGGAGCATAAATAAGGGTTAGCCAACTATTTTCCCTATTAGTAGTCTACAAATCCATCATAATTCGTAATTTCAAACAAGAATTTTGAGGCTTTTCACAAACAAGGTCGACAACCCTGCGATCGGCTAGGGCCTAGCTAGCAAAGCAATCTAGGCCTAGGCGTAGGCCTGGGCTAGCCTCCGGAAAATATAATGGTGCAAAGCATTCTGATAAAAATCATTGAAAACCATATTTTGTATTGCAAGGGATACATTTCACTTTTTGATATTTACGTACCTATATATTTGACGTTTTGGATCTCATATAATAGCAAATTAAACAGAGAACTGCCTCTCTGATTCAGAGAAAACAAAAACGACGATCATCGACATCGGACGGAGAAGCCACCGTTTGCAATGCAAACGATCGAACGAACAACGATGACTTTTCACGCTTGATTTTGTTCTTCCGCAGTTTAAAAACAACAAAAGTAGTTCTTAGCAATCACGTAGACCAGCAACACTGGACTGGCCTCAGCGCTTTTCTTTTAGGCCTACTCGGTTCACTTCGATCAATATTTCAATGCAATTAATATACAATGATATTATTAATGTTATTATTTAATTTTTGTATTTTCAATTATTAATTATTACGCTATACCGTAGTAGTAGGCATATAGGCCTATCCCCTATTGAGGATGTAGGTGTTTTCTGGCGGATTTAGTGGGGGTGGGGGAAGGGGGATGGCTCGCCGGCCCCTCCGCCCTCTCCCCTTTTGGAAAGTAAAAAAAAAAAAAAAAAAAGGAAGAAAGAAAGAAAGAAAAAAACGTCTCAGAGGTTCGGGCGTCTAGAAAACAAAAATCGACTTCCTGGGTGGTGTTATATGTCGTTATGTCGATCGGCCCCACTTTTGGCCTCCCTTTCTGACATCTCTGTATCTGCCCCTGCATGTTGCAAAGATTGTTGAAAAAGAGATGCAAGTCCAGGATATTGTGCATCTGTCAATCCGTAATCTTGTCAATATCGATCAATTTACTTTTCCAAAAGGACTCTCTCCTGTTAAATCATTACATAGGATAATTGATGAATAGATACAATTTTTAAACGGCTCTGAAGTAATTGGCTTTGTTTTTTAGACATAGCTAAATGTGTTGATACAGTCTTGCATTAAACCATAATATGTTATTATATAAACTTGAAAAATATGGCTTTGATGCAAAAAAAACGTTAAAGTGGTTTAGAAATTATCAACACAATAGAAACCAATTTGTTTTTTCTCATTGGCAAAAAAACAATTTAAACCTACAAATCTACAGAATACACTAAACTTTGTGAGCAATTGTATAAACGAAAATCATTTATCAATTAATGCCCTTAAGGTTTTAATATCCATGTAAATGGTAAAAAGTTGGAGCAGGTAAATAGCATAAGATGACTATTTAATCTGGAAACAACATGTACTTAGTATTACTAAGTAGGTGGGATAAAAGATTACGGTAAATTTTTGCCAAAACAATTGATTGGGATGCTTTACAAATTTACTATTGAACCTTGTACCGTATTGTTTATGGACATTTTTGGGTGGTAATACCTCTCAGGCCTGATACCTCTGACTGTTACGTTGAAGTTGCTAGCAAAGAAGGGCTGCTAGGATAGCAAATCGAAATTTTGATACCATAAATCACAGAGGGGATAATCTTCTTGTTAAACTGGGTTGGAACAAAGGTATAAATCTGTCTCTTATACACATCTAGATGTGTATAAGAGACAGCTATTATAATGTCAGCAATTAGGCATACTGTAATTGCTTTAGTTATTTTGTTACTTATATTGTTGTTACTTATTTATTGTTTTAATATTGTTATATTTGTTTCTGCTGCTTAACCTACTACTGTTGTTATTGTCACTATAATTACTGTCTCTTATACACATCTAGATGTGTATAAGAGACAGGGCTACGGGCCTGAAATGAGTGGAGAGATGAGAGCTCCCTGGACAGAGAGTATATTTCCCAACATTCATCTTCTTATTGCCTAGTCCTACTCTTTTCCGACAATGTTCACCTTTAACACATTCTCATCCGAGTTTTCAAGAAAACCTGCAATGATCATGCCAGTCCTGCTAATCTCATTCGACCGATGGCCAACAAGCTCCACCATCACCCACTAATTTTATCTGCTATTCTGCTGCTATATAAATACTCACAACATTCTTGTCATGAAGAGCCATGCTCTCTGGACGATTATCTTTTCCGCCGCACCACCATTCGTAATTTGCAGTTTCCCGATGTCCTCATATAATCGTTTTTCATTCAAAAGATGCCTCTTGAATTTAATAAGTTCTCATAAGATCACCTTAATTTTCATCTATTTCCATAAGCGCCCATTCTGTTTTCATAAGCGTCTCGTTTGAATAAACGCCCCGTTTGAATAAGCGCCCCGTTTGAATAAGCGCCCCTCAAAAAGTGCAAAAAATATTTTAAGCGCCAGGGCGCTTATTCGCGCGAGTACGGTACTCTTTGAGTTAAGAAAATTTGTGATTATTTTCATTTCCAAATGAACGGAAATTGGACTCTCAGCCTTAAAATTTGAATATAATTTTCTTTATACCTCCGTTAAATTTTTTTTTAACAATTTGTGGGGGAGGGTAGCCGGGGTCGGCTGCCCCTCCCCTCCCCCTTGAATCTGATACTGGGCGCATCTCCGGCCCCGGGCGATAAGGCTGGGGGACGTTACCGAAAGTGTAAGGGCAGTGGTTCTGGGGTGGTCATAATCTTTAAAAATCATCACAGGGATTTTTTTCTCCGACCAATTATGTCAGGGGAGTATTGAATGATTTCTCCTGACGGATGCCAGTCAATTCGAACGGATGTCAGTTCGAGCGGATGTCAGTTCGAGCGTATGCCAGTTCGAGCGGATGCATTTAGTGCGAACTACAACAAGGGCGAATTTTTTTGTATCTGTTTGTTTTAAATGCAAAAAATGCTCTGTGCTGTGTTCTGAAATGTTTTTGGTACTTTTTGATAATTATTCCATGTTTGAATTACACTAAAAGATGGCCGCTAGAAAGCACTTAGGCCCTATATTTTAAAACTATAGAATTTCGCACGTAGAATTCAAGTTGTCTCCTGTTAGTTGAATTATATACTGTAGTGTTGTAACAGTATTTGTAAATTTAAGATTTAGGCCTATATTTATTTATTAATATATTTATTAAGGTATAACACACAAAACAAAACAACAGCCAAAGGTTGAAAACGTTTGTTTACAATCAACAAATAAAGACAACATAGGAAAACAAGTCAGGTGGAAAAATACATATCGAAATATCAAAACATTCAAATAATTACATTAAAAAAGTATATACACCAAATTACTATAATTAAATTTTAAAAGAAAAAAAAGTCAATTAATTAATATTTGTAAATTGGAGTAACTGTAAATGTAATTTTTATTCACCATAGAAATTTAAATTATTTTAAATTATTATTATTTTTTCAAACGCCGTTTGAAAAACTCTGGATTCTCCAGCCCCTGTGACAGGACTATCAACAGCACAGTAATAGACATCATACCAATTTTCTCCACTATTCAACCATTCGTCTATATAGTTCAAAACCCACTTAGCATGTGGAAAGAATAACAATGACTAAACATTATTTTTATGAACGTAGGTATGTTTAATTGTAAATTGTTGTAAATTGTTAACCTTATAAATCAATTAAATACGACTTTTTTTATACATAAGGCTATAGGCTTCTCCCTCGGAACCCACCAGGGCTTTTCCCCTGGCTCCAGTGGCGTATCTAGAAGTCTTGAAATGGAGGTGCTGATTGGGGGCGCGAAGGTGAAGTAGGGGGGTTCGGTGATCAGTTGAGGAGTGCTAATTCGCAAAATAAGGTGATTTTAGGTGATTTTTAACTACTTGCAATTCTTTAGGTGGGGTGGGGGGTGGAATGAAGGCGAGTAATTTTTCGAGAGGCTTCCTCCCCACCACCCCCACACACATCCTTAGATACGCCAGTGCCTCGGCCGAATGCAGATTGTTAGCTCAAAATAGGAAATTTTGAAGTTAAATTCGTACATAACTCGCACAGGCTGTTGTTCGCTGTTTACAGTAAATTACAGTGAAAGTGGTGCGTATATTTTTATATACTGTATGTTCGTATAGGCTATTTTATATTTTGCAATTAAATATTTTCCGCATAGAATTCCAAAATGAACAATAAAATCATAATCTTGAAGAAAAAGGCCTCTCCACGGACACGATAGGCCTTAGTTAGGAACTGATTATTATGGCTGATGTTAATTGATGAAGAAATATTTTATCAATCGAATTTACAATTTTAATCTAATAATGTAGCCTAATAACAATATAAACAATTCAAG